ATGAGGGGTGGGTGTTGAGGGTGTGTTTTGGTTAAAGGAGAGAGTATGAAGAAGGCTATGTCAGTCTGTTGAGAGGAAGAGGGAGAGGATGAGTAATGGGTGTTGAGGGTGTGTTTTTGTTAAAGGAGAGGGCGGGAAGAAGGCCAGGTCGAGTTTTGAGCGGTTGGCGAAAGTTTCCAGTACGAAAAGTCACGTACTGAATGTTCCTCCGCTGACTTGGTACCTAATGCAGAACCGAGAGAATGGATTCTTGAACAATGTGTGTTGTTGCTCTTGATGGCGGCATGGGGCTTATAGTGATTTCCATTTTTCGCGCCGCATCGCTGGCTAAATAGCCTCGACATAGGAAGGACGGTGAAGATTGTGCCGTAAATAAAAAGGCCCCCTCCTTCAGACATGGAATAAATCGCGGAGCTCGTGTCGGAACGGATGATCTGGCGCAAAGGTTCTCATCATCTTGAGATGTTGTCAATAGATTCGTTGCTTCTATTGACTGGAGCCGACATATGTGTTTCTAAAAACTTCTTGGATAATAATTAAAGGCAACGTGTCCGAGTGGTTAAGGAGTCAGACTTGAACTAAGGACAGATATCTGATGGCTTCGGCCTCGTAGGTTCGAATCCTGCCGTTGTCGATTCATTTTTGTCTTTTGTCTATCCTTTTGCTCTTTTGCTCAACAGAAACCAATTCCAGCAATTTTCGCGTTGTCACGTCGTGGTGGTTGTGATGTCTCTCGTGACCCGCTGAGGTGTTTACTACTGCACCAACTTACTTGTATGAAATTCAGTAGCGCCTGTAGATATGCACTAGCTTAATTTTAAGCCCTCTAATTGGTCAGGATGATATAGCATTGCTGAGATCTCATTTTCCAAGTTCCCAGCCCCTGGGCCACTAGACTATGTAACTCTACGTTATGTATAGAAGCCATGACAACAATGGCGACAGACGATTCTGAGGAGCAGTAGTTCAGTAGTAGTAAGGAACGGAGTGAAAGATGAGGAGTAACTGATGAAAGTTTGGTGAAGTCTTGTGATTTTTTGCGAGTGTGGGAAGATGTGAATATTGATGGATTTAAAAGATGGTCTAAAGTGGAGGAGGCAAGGAAGAGAAAGGCTAATCGGGCTTGTTATCAGAACAATACCAGAAATTGTATATGGATGCGAATGAAAAATGCCGAGAAAGCCTCAATCTTGACGTAGACCTGGGGCAGGACACCAGACGCCGGCTCAACAGCTGTGGTTGATGTTGGGGATCGTTCTCGGCCATCTCGCTTCCCGGAAGTTCCCAGTCCCTGGGCCACTCGGGCTCGATGACCGTGACTGTTGTCAGGAACTGACACTTGGCATGGCGAAGCGGTCGCAAAGGGACCATCTGTGATTAATCCCTACAAAGCAGCTTCCAGGAGGTGAACCTCCCTGCACGCCAAAGTCTGTGAATCCTGTTTCTCTTTTCGAGTTTGCTTGATCCTGGACACCATGCAAAGAGATTCTCGTCGATCGACTTGCGAGCTTCAATAAACCCGACTAATGCACATAGTTGAATGGACAGAAGCAAAAGGGCCATATCGTGAGGTCCATGGTTTCACCGTTATCTCATTGTTTGCAGTCTCGCGTAAGGTGTGGGTGGGCCGTCGAGAGGTGTGTATAATTGTCGTTGGGTTCATCTAGACAAGATAGACAAATTTGATGCAGCCTATAAGTAGCTTGTAATAGATTAAACTTTTGACACGAGATTGCATTATGCTAGTTATTGTGATAAAACCACTGACTTGATTTGTGAACATGCGGGAGAGGGAGTTCTGGTGGGAGACCTTTTTGGCCAGCATTAAAGCATTGTCACTATTTAAGCCGTGAAAAGTGAGGTAGACATAAGCCACGAATTCGACCATTAAGTACTTCAAGCAATTATTTCATTAGACTCAAATCTCCTCTGCGGTATCAGTCAAGTACACACCTAGGACTACGGTACTATCTGCTCTAATAAAGTTCGTATTGATTAAGGTCGAGGTATATGATTACCAGCGAGCGAGGTTGAAGGCCAGGCCGTAACAGTGATAGATAGTCTCAGCCTGATTTCAAATCCTCTTCCGCTAAAGGAGGACAGTCATGCCTCTTATTATATGGGGGAAAGTCGAATTGGCTCTGTTGGTGGTTGCAATGAGATGAATGCGGCCTTAATCTGTAGTGTAGCCTCGTTGGGGTCGACTGACTGCATTGCCAGGCTAGCATATGATCTTGCTTCTGGCATGCTAAAGTTTTTTCATCGATAGGTCGGTATCATATTACATGGCGCCCGGATAGTGTATGCAGTGAGACGAATGCGGTCTTTATCTATGATATAATCTCGTTGAGGTCGATGCCGTGCTATCAGATTAACAAACGAGGCACACTACTGATGCCAATGGTGCGAAGCTCGAAGCTCCGATTCCCTCGATGACTGTTGCGGATGATACCCTGGAGGGCCATGCTGTCTCCTCGCTCGAGAGGCTGCTTTAGCTTGACAGGGACCGGGGACTGGGCGGGTTGAAACTCCCGAGTAGCCTGGTACATCTGGGCGCCTCTGGAGGTATCGACGGCGGCCAACAACAGACGAACCTCATAAAAGCCATCCTCAAAATCATGTTAGCTGAAGTAGTTCAGTGACATATCCACATTCGGAGTGGCGGACATGATGACTATCTTGAGATCAGGGAAGAGAGGCAGGGCACCCTTTAATAGTGCTAGGAGGAGATCAGTAGGGATGGTGCGCTCGTGGGCCTCATCAATGATGGCAGATTCTGTGGTGTACGAAGGAGGGGCGGGATGAGAAAAGCCATTGATATATCCCATCATGAAACCCATAAACCGTCCAAGGCAGAGAGGTAAACAAACCCATGACGCGAACGGAAACGACAGAGATTCTCTGGTAGCTCACGCAAGAGTCTAGAGCGAATTCAACCAGATAAACTTTAGCACTCAGGATTAAGGCTTGGGGTTTTATTCTTCTTCGCCTCTTTTGGCCTTTAGAGACGGCGGTCCTCTTGTCGGTAATGGAAACTCTGCCGATGGAGTGGGCTTGGTAGGGAATCAAGTCTAGTTTTATGGTTAGCAACTCATCAAAGACACTTCAGAATCAGCATACCGAGCAAACCACAGCAGTGCTTCTCGGCATCTTGCTCTCCCTTGCTGTTCTCGGCGTCCTCTGTTTAGGTTCCGTCGGACTGTGTTCCCTCTACCTGGGTCTCGTCTTCATCCATGTAGGAGGAGTCCTCTTGAGCAGCTGTGCAGTCGCCCTGATTATCGGCATCACCCTCGAAGTCCTCGTCCGATCAGTTCTCGCAGCTATGTTGTAGAGGAATCGAAATCGATCTCGGATCGATCGCTCATGACCTTTCGGGCGAGTCAGGGGAGGGTGGTGCTGTAACTTTTATAGGCCACGTGGCAGGGACGGTGGCATGACAACCAGGTTTCGTCTTGACAGGAGTAATGTCAAATGAATGTAGGGGTCGATATTCCTCCCACTGATGAAGCGGCCCCAACGGCGGCGTGGTAGTCAGTTCGTCAGTGTTTCCATAAGCTCCTTTCGGGATGCGGCCTGAATGCAATAGTAATGTAACTCGTCAGCTCCTCCAACCGAGAGTAAGCACCGGTAAGCTGTGTCCAAGGCCACTCGAGCATACTCGAGCCTTCCTCCGAAGAATCGATGTCCCACAAGTCGACCAGCCCTCGTAAGATACATATCAGGTAGCATGTTGGGTACCTACGGGTGCCTAGAAAAGGCCTATCTCGGGGCGGAACAGGATGTCCCCTGACTTGCAAACTGCTATGGGCATCTTCAGATATTCCACATCTTTGATGAAGAGAAATCGATTGCAGCCCCCCCTTTTTTTTATTCGTTTCAGCGGACAATATTCATCGTTCTGTGAGATGCAGACGGGAATGGTTCGAATGACTGATAGTCATAGTGGTTTCTTGCGTTCGGAAGAGCTGAGAAGGTGGAAAATGGGGAGGAGAAGAGGTGCATGGAAACAGTGAATCATATCCGGGCAGTGCCGTAGTGCCGCGCCTTTACTTATTGGAGATGAATAAGCTGGTGAAGAGCACTTTGGCGAAGTTGACGGGGTTGCATTCAATTGACGAGCTCCAAGTCATCCTGTCCCTTGGAAGAAGTAATGCCGGCCAAGTTAAGATCGCGCTTCTCTCAGTACTTTCCGAGCGTGAGTGCGTAGGAAGGGCCGTTCTGTGCCAGTTATTGTTGGAATCAACCAGGGCCTTGGCGAGGGTGTTGTACGGAAACTGGAATCGTGTTTCTCACAAGACTTTCCGATCGTGTCGTAGTGAGGAGCTTCTCCGGGTTGTTGGAGCCGACGTAGAACTTAGCGAAGGGTTCAGCAATGCGTCGCAGATGAAGGGGAAGAGGCAAGCAGCCACCGATGGCGTAGGATGACCAGACCCCTGATATAGCCATGCTTCAGGACTGGGCATCTTCGTGACTCCATTTCTTGCCGAGGGTTTGCGTTCATTCGGGTTGACTCCAGAAGTGTCATCTTGGTAGCTTCAAATACTTGCACCTCACGAGGTTCTCGCTTTTCGTCAGGATGATTTAGGAAGCCTAGCCACCAACGGGTATATGTAGCGCCGACGAGACACATGCATTTTGTCGTGGTAAATATTGCTGGTAGAAGCTGACACGTCTGTCTCGTAAAAAGGAAACAATGTGATTTAAAAATTCTTTTTTAATATTTTCTTAGCTCTTTTTTTCTTAATAATTCTTTTTATTATCCAGATCTCTTGATGTTTTCTTTTTATACAGTTGGTAATCACTAAAATAACAATACGTGAAGACTTGCAGTGAGGACAGATTGCAAACATCCAGTAACCCACGTCAACTATCAATTCATCTCGCATCCAGCACCCTGCCATGTTTTTGTGGTCCACTTGTAGGCGTCCTTATACACTGCTGAGACCCCATTCAACACCATATTCGAGTTCGCTTGTGCGTACACAGGCTCGCATACCATCATGACCCCGTCAGTCTTCTCATCCGGTTTCATCATCGACGTCAGAGCCACTATCTGGGCCGTCTCGTCATCGCTTATGTACATCTACCCGACGCTCGTCGACGCCTTCGGAGCTAGAAACTTGCACTCGACCGGGAACTTCATGGTGAGGTCGGGCATGCTGGGAACCGCGTACCTGTTCAGGTTCGTTATCCCGATTATCGTGGAGTCTGCGTTTGATATCTTCTAGGTATGGTTCAGGTATTCATTGCATTTTTTATCTTGCGCGCGCTATTCACTACGCATGGACGGAGTACTTCTATTTCGTCAACGTGGGCAGGTCAATATCCTTATTCATATTCACGATAATGATTATTACCACCCTGAACAGAGATGGGATTCCGCTTTTTTGCCCGACTCGGAGAGCTTGGCTTTTGACACCTTCGTGTGCCCGAGGTGTTCAGGTCCGTGACGTTGACGGCGTCATGATCCGCGTGTCCGACCTCTTATGACCACATAGTCGGTATTCTTCTTATGTGCGATGACAGACCTCGGCGTGTGTTCGTGGCGGTATTTGTGACTCTATGGATCTCTATGTGCTTCATGCTGTTCTTAAACTCAATCTCGATGCATATGAGGTCGTGTCCTTACAATTGCAATTCCTTGCGACGATGGTCACCCATATGCTCTTAATTGTGATACTGAACTTGCAGCTCGGCATAAATTGACCTTTATATACGAGTATATCACCGGGGTATCTCTGCGTTCATCCTTGCCTTTACCTTTGCCCTTAGAGAACGAGACATGCTTGTGACTAAAGCCATATAGATATCCACGCTCAGGGCGTTCTCTGTAGTCGACTTTAGATCTAACACTGCATATGAGAGCGCAGCTATAACCTTGCTAATAACCTGATTGACTTGTTCGGGAGTCTGGACTTGCAGACGAGAGGTTCTGGAACTTCATCGAATCTAAGTTTCATATAGATGAGGCCAGCTGTATCCGGGTCCTTGCTCATGCGACGCATAGGGGCTTCTGTCGACGTCGTTGTTTCTGGCCACATTTATAATGGCGATAAAGTTGACGGCCGTAATAGGATACCTAAGCACATGCTCCCCAGGTGCCCGTACGTGCAAATGTTCATGAGCTGACCTGGTACCATGACAGATTCCCATATAGTGCTACATTCCACATAGAAGGCGGCCGGGGGGGTGAGGATCCTCGCGGCGGGCACCACGACCAAGGACCTGGCCACTGACACGATCACAGGGGATGGGCAGGATCATAGGCGCAATGAGAGACTATATCAGAACCAGTTTTGGCACACGCCGCCCTCGTAGTGATGCGTTCCAAACGAGCTGATCTATGACTTTTCGTCATGTCGACGGCCCTGTTGAAGTATACGATCACCGCGGAGATGGCTTTCGTGCAGGGACGCATATTCAAATGCGTCCAGGTCTCCTCCATTACTTACTGGTTCTCGTGTGAAATCTTGTGATCGTTCTGGCCCACATTTTTGTTCCTGTACGTATCCTTGTGGAAGTTCTCATTATTAGATTGCTCGCCAAGTGAAGTTATAGTTCCTACTGGCCTTCATCAACTACCACGATATGCTGCTTACTCACCATGTTACGACGCTGTAGATAAGAGGATTCATGTTATGTGAGTTTGATGATAAAAAGCGTTTCAAATAGCGCGATGTTTTTGAGGCTTGTCCGGCGTCCGGCCTGCTATATAAACAAACTCTGAAATGTTGAAGTTTGAGGATGTGGCCCAACCCACCCAGAAATACGCTCAGGGAGCTTATTATGTTTGGTCGACTGCTAATTGCTAACAGTGATTAATCTGTGTCAATAAGAACGCTTGGAGGGCAATTAGCCTCAGAGATCGGACTGGTGTTTGGCGGTAAAAGAAGCATGGGTGCCTTTGTCTATAATGCCGATGAATCCCGTCAAACCAGAGAGTTGGGGAAGGGTTCGTAAGAGTATGAGTTGGTTAAGCACCTGCCACTAACCCCTGTGTAGTGACCTAGACGCGACGATCTCAAAGTAACGGCAGGACATAATTATTGGGCAGAGCTGCAATTAAAGAGTGGTTTTTAAACGTAGTGAGAAGGGGAACTTCCAGCTTTGCCTCCTTAAAGTGAAGGCAATAGAGTTTACTAAGGAATCTACTCTTCAGCCATTAGACAGATTTAGTCAATCAGTTCAGCTATTAGTCCATCAGAAGCCTATAGGGTCTTTGGCCAAAGTAAAGCTATTCGTAAAATCAGGGCAAGAGATACAGGTTAAAGTACTAACTAACTAGGTACCTAAGTTTCAGTAAGGTCGGCAGGAAGAAGGTCTTTCTAAAGCCGTAAGCAACAGATTAAGTTGCCCTTTGCTTAGAAAGGCCCCAAGCAGGGTCCCCAAAGGGTCGCTGAAGGCAAAAGCCAGCTGCAAGGCCCCCCAGAGGGAGTCAGAAAATCCTCTCTATAAAGATCAATTAAAACCTCCTCTTTCAGAAGAAAGTTCCCTCTCTTAGCACTAAAGATAGCTTCAAGACGAGACCAAGCAAGAAGCCAGGTAAGAGGCACAACAAGAGGTAAATGAAGAAGACTGTAAGTTCAAGCTAGGCGGAGGCATTTACCTCGCCTAGGATGATAGCATCAGGTTCTTGTATGCAATCGTCAAGATGCGACCGTTTCAGACCTGAATGATTGCTAGAAATTGTGGACGTATTGGTAGGGAAGGATTTCCACAGAACCCGCTGTTGCGCGGTGCTTTCAGATAAAGAAATAAATGGCCTTCCCCCCTCTCAAACGGGATTGAAATAAGCTCTTAAGCATACCATATGATACAGACACCTCCCTGTGACTATGATCAAGTGCATAGGTATGCCATTAGAATGCGGCCGTGGCTGATATGTTCAGGTCACCCTTGGCGCCATTCTTAGGGAGGTAGTGGAGGTGAGCGACGACTGAATATTCCATCTCACTTCCAAAAATAGCGGCGTCTTTCGGCTGTCATCCTTCAAATCAACTTCGGCGCTATTGTCAAAGGCTGCTGAATGACGTCTGTCCAATCCCAATCAACTGCATATAACGGTGGCATTCATCCACTGCTATCTTCCGAGTTTATTCGTCAAGAAGTGGCTGAGTACTGTCAGATACTCTCTCTCGGCTGCATATGATCATAGAACTTGCCTCCTAGCACTTTCTAGTTCAATCTTTGCGTTATACTCCAGAATCGGCTGAAAATGGTCGTACGAGCTATCTTGGAGTGCATCAAAACCAGCGAGCGGCATGTTTGTGTCAACATCTTTCCCGATTTGCGTAGGAAGGGGTCAAAGGGTTGAGTCTGGTTAGACTGGAAAGGTCAAAATTCAACATATACGCAAAATACACAAGGCGGCGAGAAACAAATCGCAGCAAGGTTTATTGTGAAGTTACTGGAAAGTGTCGTCATAATCACCTACCTACGCATAGAGACGGATACGTGTGAAGGCTGTGAAACAAAATATTCGTAGACGGAAATACATTACACAAGTGCTTTGACTTTTGAGACCAAGTAGCTAGAGAAGCAGGCTTTGAAACAGCCTCAGACTGAATTGCAAAGAAGCCCAAAGCTGGAAAACTAGACGACCAATGCACAGAACAAGACCTGGTCATGAAGAGTGCAACAAATGAAAGCCGCTCTGTACGGTGAATTTATTTCCGGGGCCCGACCATCGGTCCGGTCTGCCGTCAGGGACATCAGCCTCCTCTCGAATATTCGCGGCTAACCCACCAAATAGAACAATGAGCTTGGTGGATAGTTTCCTTCGGGTTAAGAGGAGGCAATAAATAACTTGTGACTCTCTAGAACAGACTTTGATCAAGCGGCGCATACCAGCTAAGACATACCGGCCGGACATGATGACGGGGACTTGGGCAGAGCTCTTCTCTTCCATTTGTGAAGATTTCTGACCTAGAGTTTCCACACCAGATTACATTGAAGCTGCAAGCGCAACTTCCCATAGCGGAACATAGCACTCGCGAGGCGATAAAATCTCACAGAATCAGCTTTAATTTACCTGATGCTATTCCTGTAAACACCTTTATACAAATGGATGCGCACTACACTATTAATACATAGGCAGTGGTCTCCAGATATGTCTTGGCCTTGCTCTGAAGATTTGCCAGATTTTGGTCCTATCGTATGGCTACCCAACGCCATTTTACCAAATAGATTTCTATTAGAAACTACTAGGTGTACACGAGCCAATGTCTGCCAGTGGTTAAAGGATGGTGTCTAAACATAATCCAAATCCTTTGAGCGTTAGAAACCCAATGACAGCATCGCTATAATTTACTCGAAAGACAACCCTAGCGTACTGGTATTCCAGCTCATCAATTCTGCTATCATTATTAGCTAGCCTCAGCTAATAATAGTACATGACGCATCAAATGTAATGAAATCTAACAAAGAAAATTGCTCGCTTGCTCCCCGAAACCCATCATAAATCGTGTTCTCATCAGTAAATGGTCCAGTTCTTAAAAAGTCCAACCAACCACTAAAGTGCAGCAAGCAGCAATTAAAGCAGCCTTGAAAGAGACGCCCAAACTTGCTCCAGCATTATCACTGTTTGTAGCTATCGGCATGGACACAAAGTCCGTCGGTGTACTCGAAACTGCAGTCACAGGGTCCGGGTCATGGGGCAGTTCGCCCATTGTCAGGACGCCCCATTCTACTTCGCTACCGGAATAAGTTGATGTCCATGTCACTTCCGTCGGACCTGTGTGCACGCCATCGTTATAGCCCTCGTTGAAACTCGAGTATCCGGAACAAGTGGCCCTTGTCGTGCCTTGTAGGTTGCACTCTAGATTCGCGGTGCTGCACCATGTTAGCATTGGTATGTCGTAGGTACACAGAGAACATACAGTCTTGAGGTGTGCGTGCCATGAAAGCGAACAGTATCGGGTCCTTCGACTAAAACAAAAGGAAACTCAAGGGATAAGTCACACTCTGGAGGGTCTGAGTCGTCTGTATCTGGGCAGAATATTGTGTACGTTGTTTCCTTAGCTTGCGTATCCTGGTATGTGTTAACAATCATTATGGAGTTTGTAAAGAAGATCGACTCACGCTTGAGATGATGCTACCGCGCACAACAGCCCACGAGTCTTCGTCGTAATAGGGCAGATAAATAGGCGCTGTCGTTACAGCAGGCGGTTCCTCGCTAGCATATGCGAAGCTATTCGCGGCCAATACCGCCAGCCAAACTGACTTGGAGCGTGGGGACATGATTGACTAGCTCGTCGCGCAGGGATGAAAAGAGTTTGTAGAGGCCAGTCTAGCCAATCAGAGCTTGTGGAAAATGCAGAGCGAAGATCGCGGTCACAAAAGATGCGCGCGCAAACAAGGGTTACTGTCAAGGTACCTATGCGCAGATAAGTCAAGACAAGAATTGGTCGAGCGCGAAATGATGACCTTTTTAACAGCTCCTTTTCTCAAAGAAACCGGGTTGGGAGGGGCCAAAGGCCAGCCAAGCATCAGCGGAGAGTGCCAAGGTCTGGGCGGCCGAGGTTGAGTGAGGTTGTGAGCTAGACTGAGGTAACAGGTGGTGATGAAATTTTGGTGTGAGTGAAATGTCGATGAAACAGGAGCACGTTGGAAGAGCTGGATATAAAAAGAACGAAACATTTGCAACAGAAAGAAACGATGATACTTTGATATATTCATCCGGAAATCGGCTACAGCAAAATGTCAGACGGACAAATTTATCATGACACGCCAAGACTGAGCTTTGTCCAGAATCCGATGCCAAGACGGACGCTGAGTGCCAAGGAGGATCCAATTTTGGTGACATCCCAGTAAACGTTGCACCTAATAACCAACATCAAATTCTACAATTTCGTGTATGAAGATCTATAGCCAAAATTATGCTATAGTAACTATCGGGAATAAGTGACACCTAGTGTCACAGTTCTGCTCTTGTTAGAAGCTTAGAAATTACACCACAAGGGAGCAGCAAAGTTCTCCAAATGCAGAACTCCATTGTTTAAGAATGCGAATGTATTGTTACCCACGTCGAAGTTCATAACTGATAAATCAACCAGATTACCTAAATTTGAGTATTTATATGCCATTAGCAAAGAGTATAAATTAAGTGGGAAACATGGCTTCCTTGCAGTAGACTGACTTTGTACAAGACATACATGTAAAACCGTCATTAATAAGAGGGTCAGGAGACAAGCAGAAAGAGTGGGATAAAGCTATAACAAGGCAAAGAAGCATAGTAAATTTCTGGATGTTTCTTTCACACTTCAACTCACTGCAACTAGTATATTGTATTCGGCATATAAGGGTTCAGAATGATAAGCCCCGATGTGCTCGATGAATGAATGTTGTCCAGATTAGAGGCAATTAGATCGGTTTCTTTCTTATATTTGCCATATTCGAAACCTCATAATGCCTTGCAGCTAGCCTTGAATGTTGTATTTCGCTGAAGGATACTCTTGATTAATGGATGCTCTGCCGCATGGCGGTCGGCGTGGCCTTCACAGGTTATACCTAATAGGGGTCGACGGTATGGGAGCAGTTCAGAAGATATTCTTAATAGGATTGGACACCCTCGAAACTTGAAACGAGATCTGGGGAGGGCGCCCCCTTCGCCAACTTAATACATATGGCCAAATGTGTTACAAGAGGAAACAAATACACCATCATCAAGAATCCTGAAACCAAAACAAAAGACAGCTAGTCTTCTTTTCTTCCTCACACTTTCAATTACTCAAAAGGAGTAGGTACAAGTCAAGTCCGCGTCAACAGTCTTCGTTAAGGTCAAGGTCGGGACCAGAGATGTGGTGAGTGTTGCGGGCAAAGATGTTATCGTGCGAAGTGCATGGCTGAGAAGGCACTCTTGTCGTCAGTTGTCCCCGCACTGGGATGATCAAAGCGTGTATCATCTCTAGTCGCCGTTGTGGTTGGCATGGTAGTCACGCTCAAGATAAGACTATCAACAGTGGTTGTGTCAGAAGTGTTTGTAATGACGGTGTTTTGAGTTGATGAACCGTAGTCTGCAATGGCTATTGTGATGACCGTGGGAAGGGCTTTAACAGCAGTTGTTATGAACCAAGCTGGGATGGCAGTGGTAGTGTCCGTTCGCAGCATCTCTGCCACGCACAACCTTCCCATGTTTAGTACCTGCGCAGGGACATCAGCATCTCCTCGGGGCCTGACCGTCCGACTACAGGTTGGAGCCGACCAACTAAACAGTTGCTATTGTACCTCCAACATCATCTGATATATTTATAACATTAAGGTCACTTCGGGCTCCCTCAGGGAATGCCCGGAGGTACAGTAAAGAAAGCTGTTAATGCGCTGCCCATGGCACTGAACTGTGACGAACGAGATCCGGATAGGCAGACACGTAGCATCAGCGGATTAGACTAGATGATTACATACTATGACTACGAAAGTGCTTCTAACATGACCGCACTACACCTATACGTTAATACCCGCTTATTCATTGACCATATACTCGACAACCTCAGTCTTCCCTTGATGTGCTACTGCCACAAGAATGCTTCCGCGATGGCCTTGCCATGCCCTGCAGATTACCTCACTGAGTTGTCTCTGATAGTTTAAGCACTCAGCCATAAGTCTCAACTGACAGCCTCCTGTGACATCAAGTGCCACCAAGCTGTCACCTGCGTGTTGTCAGCTGAGACAATTCTATCTGTTCGGTGTTGTTTTACTCCAATTTGAAACACTTAGAACGCGAAACGGCATATCGTACAGATTTAAGTGCTTTCAGATGAAATTTCCTCTATATCAATGTTCGAGGAAGCAGAATAGTATATTCGGCAACAACCAATCAAACCTGTCTAACACTACTTCTGATACTGTGTACTGCTTAGTTGGGGAGATCCGAGAAGCTCTTGCAATAACTCAGTCAGCACAGGGTCTGCGCGTTGTCGCTCCTGTGTCTCGATGTGGATGATCCAGTGTTGCCGAATAGGAACCTGGAATGGATGGGTCAGGTCGAGTTGTGACCAGCCGCGTTCGTCACCCTGGCGCCTCTGCTTTCTGCATCCCTCAGGTCTATTTCATCCAGATCCCGGTAGGTGTCAATCAAAAGCTTAAGGCAGATTTTTGGAGGTGTGACAATGTGCACTAGAAAGGGGACTATGATGATCTTCGAAGTACGCTGTGATCGACTTCACTGGACTGGAGGAGGCTTTCTTTCTTAGGATTAATTCGAATCCCAAATAAGAGCTCATGAGCCTGCATAGGTTCAGTGGCACGCATCGCCCGCATCAAATCTCGTTCGGTAATCACTCTACAGTGCTTATTAGAAGCTTTTATCTTGCTGTATATTTCGTTATAGATGGCCTTAAGACCAATGGGATGCCTGCGAGGCCGAGCCCTAGAGTATTCTTCTGTGTCAAGTTGGAGATCTGTCGGATCGGCAAAGGATGCGCACTACAACCCGTGACACATTGGATGATACTTGCGAGAAGATGTCTTGATGAACATGTCTTACATTCTATCACTACGCTCGAGTAGAACGCTCACAGTCAATTCAGTCGAGATCCGAGCCCTACCAAATTCGCCGAGTGGTGGATATGCCTCTTTTTCCCAGTTCTTATTATGTATGATCCTTCTATCAACGAATCTATGTATATCCTATTCTTGAAGATTTGCCTTGACTTCAATGTTCCGTATATTCCGGAAACGGATCTTGGTATCTCGGACGGGTCAACATGGAATGAGGACCTTAAGGGGTGTTTGAGATTAAGGTGACATGTATTTGGTCATTTCAAAAAGCGTCCCACGGGAGGCCGACCCATATTCTTCAAGTGCACCCAAGATCAGGATTATCTTTGAGAACGACTCCATCTGCCTACAAAGTTTGCTATTACATGTATCAGATTCATTTCATTGATGTCGTACTCTCCTTTTCAACGAAGAGCTTCGGGAGATCAGGCGGCTCTTAGAGCAATCTACAGCAGCCCAGAGTTGGCGAATGTGGCTTCTAAAGACCGACTGTGGTGCTCAGCGATCGTCTTCTTGTCAATTGCAGTAGAACAACATAAATTCCTCGCAATTTGATGGCCTTTTGAGATTCTGAAAACGGCTAGAGACCTTGGATGTAAGGAAAGAGTTTCCAGTGCCGGCCATGCTGACTGGTTAGTTCGAGGCCTTTCGAGAGATTGTTCACAGAAGAATCACGGCCGAGAACCAGAAAACCAGAATACGGGCGAATTGCTACTCTCCCGCTGGCAATGGTTCTCGTTCTACAACAAACGCTCATAAGTGCCATCTGTGGGACTTTCCGCATTGGCCTAGTGAGATCAATCTCAGCATCTTCAACCATTTCTTGTCGGATGGTGATGGGATAGCTTTACCTACCCAAGGCACAGCGCTGTCAGACAAGAAGAGTTCAATAAGCAATTCATCTTAGGATCAGTGACTGCAAGACTCCAACTTAGACCTATATGAACGATATTGGGGCGATGTCTGCTAACTATCGGTGCGCTCTAATGCTACGTTTATCTGCCTAAGCCATCGCCGAAGCTCTCCATAGACAGTTACGAATCTATGATCGCCCTCACTAACGAACTTTATCGTCTTCATGTGGTCTTGATGAATTTAAATGGAGATGTGCAACGGGAAATCGTAGAACCTTGTGGCACAACCTATTGTCCATCAGTGGCTAAGTCTAATGTAACCCACGGCCAACTTACGAAACTAACTCCTTCTTGAGGCAATCCTCATAGAAGCAACCTGCTTTGATTGATGCGGTCCTTCTTCACGTAACTCGACCATGGCATGGAAGCCATCGTGGATTTATGCAAGCACTTCGGATGAGAACGTGCAATAAGTTGGGGTATGTCTGCTTCACAAGGAAAATGTATCGGGAAATGAGCTCAGCCCACACCCTAGATCAGCTCCATAGTGCGCGGTACCGAGAAGGACAATACAGCGACTAGGCCGGCGATTTTCAAGAGGTGTCGCTCAGGCCGTTGACCAGATATTACTACGGCCTGTCATAGTCTCAGCG